CCGGGGGAGTCGGGGGGGGGGTCAAAGAAGTCAGGAAGGCAGCCACAACCCTACGACTGAAGCCCTGCCCTTTTTACATTGCAACTGACAGAAGTTGGTATTATAATCCACTTTTATAGAATCAAAAACACTGGCCTAAATAATGTATGTAGTTATATGACTTTTTGTGTTGGACAAACCCTATTATTTGTCATTTTGTGGAAAACCCTTTCCGCAGAGAGATTGGAAAAGCCTATTTTGTTGGAAATACTACATCTAGGACGCTTTAAACAACTTCCAGTTCAGAGAACTGATCTTCAAAAACCAAACTGGTTTAATGTTCCAGAGTTCTTTGAAACAATCTGTTCTTGAACTGTCAAATTTTGCATGACCATGACTGAAAAGCTGCCATTCTACTCAATTAACTGGAACCAATAGGCCACTTTCAGTATCACCCTGATCTACGTAACTCGAACCACAGTCCAATTTGTCTGATTTTAGTTTACATGTGAACTCAGCTACTGTGGCAATAAAGCATGGATTTATGCTTTGTATATGCACTGGCAACATCGTGCCTGTGGATATGAGGATAGGTGCAAAATTCCTGGATGCCGCCCTTGGCTTCCCGAAATTAAATATATTTGCTTTAAAAACAAATGGACAAAAATTGCAAAAATATGCAAGAGTACTAAATCTCATGAGATACCGGTGGTTCCTACAAAAACTCTTGAGATTTCAGCTGAGAACAAGCAAAATCATGGAACTGAGATGACAAAAATCTTGTGAAATGTTGGCAATTTTTACTTTTTAAATTAATTTTTGGGTGACTACAACATCACAAATAATTGCATGATTGCACCTAATAACCCCTAGCTTAGTGTGCTAAGTAATAGTAATATTATTTATATTTATCTGAATAGTAATATTTATTCCATAAACCATGAATAAACAAATCATAGGTTATTATAAGATTAAACCAATGTTTGAAAAAATCCAGGATTATTACTTTAGTAAACCTTAGATCAACTGAAAATTATCCTTTACAGAATATAGTCTGGAAACTTGCATAACATACCTTGCTTCTTTCAGTTTTTCAAAGCTGGCAGCCAAATTTTTCACTGTAGTTCCTACGTATGTGGGCAGAATATGTTCCATATAATCAAGAGTTTCCTTGTAAGCTTTCTTCTCTTTCTGCATTGGATAGCAATGAAAACATTAGCCCACTAATACTAGTTCTTTCAGGCCACCAATCTTTCACTGAAGAACTTCCCAGAACTAAGTGGATCTTTCATACAGGGACACCGATTTTTGTTTCAGACAGTTCAAAAACACAAAGGAAAACAGTTCCTAAATGTTCTAACTGGAAATGGTGCAGATGATGGCCCAATATGACTAGATAACAGGGTGAACAGCTTTTTGGCAGTCAGGGGCCACACTTAATATTACTGGGGAAGGGAAAGGTGAGCATGATAAAGCAAAGGGGGTGGAGCCATATCACACATCTGGGCAAGGCCAGCATTCTCCCAATGTAGATGAGGAGTTTGAGTTTTTCTTTGTTTTTAAGACCATGATAGGCCTGTTTTACAGCTTATGAGTTCAAGGGTTTCTGCCTCAAACAGTTAACAATGATAACTCCAATTTTTGGCAATTATAACCAGAAGGGCTGTTACTACAAGTGGTTGTGGGGTCTCCAACTGGTCATCTCTGATCTAAAGGGTACAAGGTTAAAGAATGCTACTCTAAAGAATTTCTTAAATTAGCTGGACCTCTGTTGTCTCAGGCACCTTCCTTTATCACCCATTAGATTTGGTCAGGCCCACAGAATCTACTGAAAGCAATTAAATACAACATATAAAGAGCATCTAGATCATTAAGTATCTACCTTCCTTTCCCCGTAAGGGGAAGGGCGAGCCTTCTCTACACCATTTCATTACTGTAAGACTGACAATTACATAACTCTGAGATGTAGCAACATTCTATTCATCCTACCTCCAGATCACAAGTCAGTTTCTGTACTTTTGATTCCAGTTCTTCACACTGATGGGAAAGAATTCGGTTTTCTTCTTGGAAAGTCTCTTTTTCCTCTTTTAGTTTCTCATTCTCCTCAAACAACTTCTGATCCTGTTTGATTTTTTCCAGGCTAATGTTTGACACCCTTTTAAACTCACAAGTGACCATTTTGTCTCTATTGGAACACACAGGCAAGATTCATCAAAGAAATTTTAGAAGTGTGTTTTAAAGAATTGTCCAAAATCTCTCAAGTACATCTTTACTAACTAGTAATTAATTGATCATTGATTTAACAAACCTGGGCAGAAGAAAAGCTTCTCTTTTCGCTCTGCCTCCTAAGAAAGTAAGGATAAGTTTTTCCAGTATGTTCCACTCCACTGCTAACCTAGAACAACTTTGAAAGCTGACTATACCCACCATTCCTAATGGGTTCAAAAGATTCACATCACACATCAACATCTGGACACTAATTAAGCTTCAAGTTCAATTCCTAGACTATATGGACACATCCTCATTGTTTTATTGACAACAATATGAAAGTTTGCTTTTGCCTTCTTTTGGGATTTTTTTCTCCTTTCAAGTCTAGTCTAGGCTTAGGATTTCCTGTAGTTGCCTATCCAAATACTACCCATACCTGACTCTGCTTAACTTTTTCAAGGTCATCTAGAAGCTGTAATTTGTTGTGATTGAGACAGACACAGAGCTGTCTTCTTTTTTGCTTGTTCTGTAACTTTGTTCAAAGCCATAGTCAATGTTACCTGGTTTTTATGGGGCTAGAATCAACGATTCTAGCAAATCAAAATGCAGCCACGCGGATTACATGTAACACTTTTCCTGCAGGAGCTGCATGTACATGTAACACTTTTCCTGCAGGAGCTGCATTGGATGCCAGTTTGCTTCCGGGTCCAATTCAAGGAGTTTGTTATCACTTTTAAAGCCCTACATGGCATGGGTCCAGGCTACCTGAGAGACCATCTCATCCCCATTACATCAACCGATCACACCTGGTCAGGCAGAGAGGGCATGCTGTGGATCTTGTCAGCAAAGGAATGTCAGCTGATGGGGCCCAGGAAGAGAGCCTTCTCTGCCGTTGCCCCCACCCTTTGGAATATTCTCTCCCCAGATGTGTGGCAGGCCCCTACTTTCCCGGCTTTCCAAAAAGATTTAAAGACCTGGCTCTGTCAGTGTGCATGGGGTGATATGGGCTCTACCCACCCCTGGGGGTGGCTAGCCCCCTGATGATGCTCCCTGAAATTACTTGCCAATTTTCTATCTTCTTGGAATTTATTTATTTTTAGGATTGTTTTTATGTTGTATTTTAATGATTTTTTATCTTGTTGTAAATCACCCAAAGTCTTTTCACGAGATGGGCGGTGACAAATTTGATGAATAAATAAATAAAACTAAATTAAAAAAAGAGTCTACAGGGGCCAAGGAGGGGATGGACAAATGATGAAATAATAGTGCTATAAGCTCTGTCCCTTTCGTATGTGTGTCATGACCCTGCACATACGTACAACAGATGGAGCTTCTGTTGCAGCAGTGCAATGCTGTAGACACCTCTTTGAATATGTATTTGTGACTATGTAACACAAACACTAATGAACCAAACATGAGCTTGCAAAAATAATACAGCTATTTGAGCTGGGCAGCACTTTGGAGCTAGCAGGAGAATGAATACAGCATTTGCAACATTTTAAAGCAGTCACCTTTTTCCATGCGGGGCTATTATGTGGTTTGTTTTACGTGGTTTTAACACAACATGTGAGCCCAACCATTGTGCTTTGTGAGCAATGGTTTATAGCTTCACTTATTGACTTTCTCATTGTTTTGTATACTTGGCGACTACATTTCAGGTCTACTGCTGCCAAAATGAAAAATGGGACTTCCGAAAAGATTAACTGGAGTTTTCAAGCACGTGTCTCAGGCACAGTTGTAGATGCAAGGTAATTTCAGATTACCTGTTTCATTTAACCTATATTAGAAGGTAGAACCTGGGCTTAAAACAGCCCATGGAAGCATTAACCTACTGAGAACACAATCACATTTCATTTACTGTAGCTTTGCATCTGAGTCTCATTTTCCTCTAAAGAGAAATCTGGGCTTTTTAAAGCAAGGGCTGGGCCATGCTTGGTCTTTCAGCACTCTGCTGGAGAGTATCTCCAAAAAGTAGGAAGGACCAAGGCAGAAGTCAACCTTTAATGAAATGAGAATCAAATTTAACATTCAGTTAAATTACCCAAATGCATGATAATATAATTAAATGTGTGAGGAGTAGCAACAATTTTCCCTTCTAGCAAGTTAAAAATTAAAACTGGGTAGCATCTTTTGAAGGGATGCTGTGTATTGTATCTATGGATCTCAGCACCCATAGATAGTCTACGGGCTCAGGTTGCCCACCTTTGCTCAAAGGAATCATTGTGTACACTTGCTCTTCACTGTTCTCAAACTACATTGCAGAAAACCCTTTCCCACTTTAACTTACTTGATCAAAGGAACATGATTTGTAGAGTTATTCTCATCTCTCCCATTTAGAAACACATCACCAAAGTTTCCTATTATTCTACTGCTTCCTAAAGAGTTGCCTCTCATTGCCCATGCTGGAGCTGAAGTTTTTGCATTCCTAGTTTGGTACAAAAAGGAATCCACTTTTGTCTCACAGGATTTGTTTTCTGTGGGAGATTTGTAAAGTTCAACAAAACCTTTCTTAGCCATTTCTTCCCCAACATCCAGGAGGCCATATTCTGCTTGGGCAACAATGGTGCCATCCTGATATATGGCTTTATGTTTTATCTTCATCTCTTTTTCAAATATTAAGCTATCCAGAAACTTCCTCCCCTGTAAAATGAAATTTAGAAGGCATTAGAGAAGTTGAAATACAGGTCTTACAATTAAAAAATCTCAGAGCTGATCAGGTGCTCTGCTGTAGTATATACTCTATAGATATTTATAACTATGGCACAGATAATGTTTTTAGCCAACAAACAGACACTCTCTAAGATCTCTGAATAATCTCTCCTGCCCTTATAGATGCAGAGAAGCTCCATAAATATAAACAGTAGATTATCCCTAGTAATATCTTAGAAGCTGAAAGATTTCTAAAGCCAGAAACTTGGCTTCATCATCCTGCACAAGTTTTACCAATTGGTTCCTAGCAAAAACTGCATTATTCATGTGAAAAACAAATTAAGCAAACAGGCAAGTTGCTTCCAGCATTTGGATCATTTTGATACTTATCATTCAGAGCCACATTCAGTCTGATATAGCACTATGTGCATTTAAACAAAGACTAGATCTCAAGTATATCCACTTCATTCTCTACGAAGTATTGCTTTCCACAGTTCTTGACTTGTCATTATATATGGACCAGAAATTGGGTGCCTTTAGCTAGCTGACTAATCTAAATGTCCACAGTACCTCCTTGCCTATTCATCTTTGACACCTTAATCATGCTTGGTAATTCTTTTATAGGTAAGCATGATATATATAAGTGAGGTAACCATAACTTCTGATCAAGACAAACTGTCCTATGCCTGACTGCCTGACCAATATTTTTTTCCTTTTCCCCCTTCACAGAATTTCCTCCCTTGCAGAGGGGAGAGATTGCTTAAACAAGTTATCTCTTCCTAAACTGCTTTTCTTCCCAGCACAGCACTTCTCTAAAAGGTGCTAACTGCAGGTTAACAAACACAGCTCTGTGGCCTTAATTAGTTAATTAGCATCCTCCAGGCTTGCCCTACTATCTGAAATTGGCAAGACCCTAATCAGTTTCACCCTAAAGGCCTTCTTTTGCCTCCTAAGCAGCCAGGAGCACCCTAAGCAAACAGCTGGCATTAAGGCATTCCTTTCAGTGTGTATTTCCCATTATGTGCCTGCTCACTCTCTTGTAATCTCTTCCTCTCCAATGAGTTTAAATATAAACATTAATTTCCCCTTGTTAATTATCCCAAAACCCAGGTGAGCATTCCAAGGGGCGGGGGAGTGGGGGGAAAGGGCTATAAGATTTACCCCTTTTTTTCAGCTTCCTTGAGAAATGAGTTCTGGAACACAAACCTTCCCCACCATTTGGGCTCACCCGGTTGTTTGTTGGGGTTGTATCCACCTGACGCTGTAAGTATTTAGGGGTGATTTCTTAATAAACTTTTTTCAAGATTTATTACTGTTCTAATGACTCCCTTAGCGTTCTCCTTCTTTGGTATCCATCCTGCAAATTCTAAATTGTGCCAACATGCAGATCAACAGAAACGCAAACCAACATTCAAAACCATAACTGTTTGTTACTGATTGCTTCTTCTTCCTGTTGTTCTATCCCTTTCATCTGGACATTTCTTCTCAGTTTCTTAGACTATGAGGATGAGTGATATCTTTGAGGATGCTGATTGTTGCTTTGCAGTCAGGGACACTGCTCCATTTATGATGTCCTGCCCAGCAATTCAGAAACTATCTAGAAGCTAAAGCCACCTTTATACAACCTTTGGGAGAACAAGAATGACACAGTCTGGTTTTCACCTTCTGCCTTGATATGAATGAAATTAAATGGGAGAGATTGGGGGAAAAATAAAAGCTGAATTCCCTCTGTTCAGGCCTCTCAACATGGAGTCAATCAGAAGTTTCGGGGGGCATGATTGTGCCATACTAAAACTAGGGGTTTTTCACAATCAGTAAAAGAGATAAAGAAGAGTGGGTAGCCCACTATGCAGACTTAAAATAGCAGGAATGCTATCAAGTAGAAGAACTAACACTGTTATTTTTCTTTGCAATTTTATATATAAACATTTTTCTATATATCCTTGCCACAGCTACCAAAAATGGAAACTGCATATGAAATTTGCATGCACAAACACAAGCACATGAAACATCTGGCTTACCTGGTCAAATTGATTTAAATCTTGATCAGCTGAAATCTGTAGTCCCCACAATTTATACTTTTTTGCCATACTAGGAAACTGCAAGTTTGCTGGGATCTCAACTATTTCTGATCTACTGAGGATCTCAGAGTTCCCGTAGTCAATGTATAATACTTGACACTGTAACAGCAAAAGATCAAAGATAGAAACAAACTGCCCTTTGAAGTGGCAGGATAGTGACACTCCACCCCATTCCCTCCCCTCTGAGCTTCTTATAACCGTTTTCCACACACTGGGATTCCCCAAGACCTCAAAGAAATGCCTTAATAAAGCTGTTTACACCATGTTGTGCTTCTACCAACTGTTTTATTTGAGGATTATCCTTACTGCTGCTCCTTGGGTTTGGGAAAAATAGGAAAATCTTCTTCCTTCCTGATTTCCCTAGATCGGGATATTATGTAAAATTCAGGAAACTTAGCATTGTAAATAACATGGTGCATTAGGAATCAGTTTTCAGTAAGCAAGCAATATGGATAAAGGAATGTTACAACAACAACAATTTATTAATGATAACTGTGCAACCAACCATAATAATAATGAGAATAATAATAATAATAATAATAATAATCCTCCAGTGAGGCACTACCTTGATGTGATTGTGGGGCTTGCATCCTCCGAGGAAGATGAGAGCTATGCCAGAAGTTAAACCATACCGGACAGGTCTGTTCAGAGAAGCCAGATGAAGAGTGTCTCTCCCATAAACAATATGGTCAGATGTAATTTACAGAAACCTATACCGGATTGGTTATCGCCCCGGTCAACAAGGACTGCGCTAGGTGTTCTAGTTCCTGGATATCTGTGACATGGGGACTACAGGACTCAGGACTGCTGGCTGAGCAACCAGGGCCAGCAACTGCAGAACTACTAGA